ATACCGTACTCTTAGGGGTTTGCGGATGGGTTTAGGCTTTAAGGTTCAGGGTTTAAGGTCTAGGTTTTAGGGTTTCGGGTTTAAGGTCTAGGTTTTAGGGTTTCGGGCTTAAGGTCTAGATTTTAGGGTAGTTTAGGGCTTAAGGTCTAGGTTTTAGGGCTTAGGGTTAGGAGAAGGGGTCGTGGATCTTCAGTTCCCCACCGTACGGCAGGCACTTGCACGAACCCTTGTAAACCGACCTTTGCACCATTTTGCAGCCCCATACAGTTTAGGGTTCAGGGGTTTAGGGTAAACCTTAAAGCCCATACGAACACTTCCAAAAACCCGAACGAAACTCTATACCCCTACCAAATAACCCTCACCCCTAAATGTCGGATAGAACCTCTAAACCTTACCAAAACCCTATAGAAACCCTCTAAGCTTTAAGCCCTAAGCCCTAAACCCTAAAACCCTAAACCCTAAAACCCAAAAACCTAAAACCCCAAAGCCCTAAAGCCTAAATTCTAAAACCCCAAAACCTAAAACCCCAAAGCCCTAAACCCTAACTTATAAAATCCCAAAGCCCTAAACCCTAAACCCTCCATGAAAGCCTAGGTTCATGCCCAATACCCCTTAATCAAGGAATATAGCTTAAATCATAAAATGAAGCCCCTTATGATTTAAGGTATATTGCTTAATTAAGGGGTATTGGGCTCTGTGGGGCCAAGGTTCATGCCCTGGGCCGGTCCATTGGAGGGCCGATTCCTCGTCGAACCTCGGCAGCCCTCCGAGCAGCGGTCGGGCATGTGGCCACGACGGCCCAAGCAGCACAGACTGAAGGCCTTTTAACTCAGGGGTTTAGGGGTTTAGGGTTTGGGTTTGAGGGTTTAGGGTTTAAGGTCTAGGGTTTTAGGGTTTAGGGTTTAGGGCCCTTTTCTTTACCTGAAGCGACCCAAACCTACTTTTTTGTAGGGTCCCTATAAATTCGATATTGGGGGTTCATAATAAGGACCTACAAAAAAGTAGGTTAAGTTAGGTAGGGGTTGAGGGGTTTAGGGTTTGGATTTGACGGTTTAGGTTTTAGGGGTTTACACCTTTTCTAGGTTTAGGGGTTTAGGGTCGAGGTTTTAAAATTTAGGGGTTGAGGGTTTTGGGTTTTGAAAGGCCTCAAGAGGGCTTTAGATCCCAAAGCGCTGGCCAAATTATTGCGGCCCCGTACATTGGGGCTCCTTCTTATCGTCACTATAAAAGTAAGATAAACCCCCAACGCCCTATTCAAAAAATCTTTCCGGCTCCTATATTCAGCCCCTGAGACCTAAGCCCTAAACCCTAAGAGCCCTAAACACTGAACCCTAAACCCTTAACCCTAAACCCTGAACCTTAAACCCAAAACCCTGAACCCCGAACCCTAAACCCTGAAGAACCCTGAACCCTAAGCCCTGAACCCTGAAACTTAAACCCTGAACCCTTAACCCTGAACCTTAAACCCTAAACCCTGAACCCTAAACCTTGTGCTTTGTTGGGGATGGGAAGGAAGGGCGGAGCGGAGCATTGATTGAAAATGGGGATGTCGTCCTAAGCCCCACGGTTGATGGTTTATATCCTGCATTACTTTAAGGACCCAAAACTATGGGAATTCTGGTATATTCCTTATGGTCGGTATTGCATCAAAAGTACTACATATGGGTAGTTGTCTAACTTAGGGTCCCGTGTAGGGTCCTTTCTATATCATAAGGGTGCCATAATACAGTGGGGACCCAAGAATGGACCCTAATTTAGAGAACTACTCACCTCAATCCAATATATAGGGGGGGGGGGCTTAATAATTACTTATACTTTTTTGGGGGCTCCTTATCATAAATATAGTATACTACAACCCCCAAACCCTGTTATAAGTATAGTATACTATAACCCCCAAACTCTGTTCTAATTCTTAAGGCCCCTATATTAGAAACCTAAACCCTGCCAGCTGCAAGCCCTATGTGCCTAAACCCTAAACCCAAACCCCGAAACCCAAACCTCCAGCCTATACCGCAACTTCATCCTAAACCCGGGATCTAAGCCCTAAACCCTGAATCTAAACCCTAAAGGTATATCCTGAAGCCTAAACCTCACACCCTAAATCCTGAATCCTAAACCTTGAACCCTAAACCCTAAACCCTGAACCCTAAACCCTAAACCCTCAACCCTAAACCCTAAACTCTAAACCCTGAACCCTAAACCCTAAAACCCTAAACCCTCAACCCTTACAAGCAGGTGCGCTTTGATCAAGCAGACACTCCGGCAGCTCCTGAGTTATTGTTAAGGAACTTGCGATCATCGGGATTTTAGGTTTTGGGGTTTAGGGTGTAGGGTTGAGGGGTTTTAGGGTTTAGGGATTTAGGGTTTAGGGTTTAGGGATTTTAGGTTTCGGGTTTTAGGGCTTAGTGGTGTAGGGGTTTAGGGTTTAGTGGTTTAGGGGTTTAGGGGTTTAGGGGTTTTAGGTTTAGGGTTTAGAGTGTTGAGGAATTCAGTGTCATTTAAGTGATCATCATCAGGAAACGGCTTTACCCTACGATGGTAACTTTCATTAAATTCCCAGAATCCTTAAAGGGGTCCTTTCTTGGTAACTTAAGCCAAATTCCTGAACCCCTAAACCCTGGATCCGAAATCCCGACTGTTGATGATATGAACCCTGCATTGCCTTAAGGACCGTAAGCCTTACCCGTAAGCTATGGGAATTATGGTAAATTCCTTATTATGGGTAATGCAGGATTTATATCATCAACCGTATGACTGAACTGGAAGTGGCAAACCCTAAACCCTAAAAGAGCTTTTCAGGGAGCCCTAACTATGGCAACTTCAGCTACGCTCCTTAAGACAAAACCCTAAACAACTTAATTCGTAAACCCAAAAGCCTAAACCCTAAACCTAAACCCTAAGCCCGAAACCTTAAAAAAAGACTAAACCCCATTACAGTAGAAGCCCAAAAGTTGGAAACCCAATAGCCTCAATCCCTAAGAGTACTGTATAAGCAACCCCAGCACCATTTGTCCTTAAACCGGTTTCCAACTTTTTGGGGTTTACCATATGGTAGCTTGGCTTAAGTTAAAGGAAACTACAGGTGGGGAGATTTAGGGTATATGGAGCTTCTATAAGGCTTCCATAAGGTATATATACCTTCTATAAGGCTCCTATAACGGTAACTCCCCACCTGAAAATGTCCTAGAACCCTAAACCCTAAACCCTAAACCCTAAAGATTAAGTTCTTTCAAATGAACCCAGGCTTGGGCGGCTCGGGAGCAGGGATGTGAGCTTCTACACCGCGTCCCCAAGGCGGATGGGTCAAAATTATTAGGGTCTACAGGGTTTAGGGGTTTAGGGCTTTAGGGTTTAGGGCTTTAGGGTTTTAGGCTTTAGGGTTTAAGGGTTTTAGGGGTTTGGGGGTTTAGGGGTAAAAGGGTGCAGGGTTGTGCTTTTCAGGGGGGGTTTTGTTTTTGTAGGAGCCAGGGCTGATGTAGCAAAAAAATATTACTTCTTCGGGTTTGTGACAGGGTAGAGAGTAGACTACTGCGGAGACAGGGACCTTTTGCGGGAATCCTTGCATAGAGCAGAGCAGTTAGACCCAAGACCTAGATGTATAAGGGGACCCTAAGCCCCCTAAAGGGCTCGAAAGCCCCAAACCCTAAACCCTAAACCCCTAAACCCAATATCCTAAAAGTTTAGCCCTTGACGCCGATCCGAAGTTGAACTCTCAAGCTTGGCAATTTGTTTCAGCCCTGAAGCCCTGTGGTCCTAAATCCCTAAATTCTAAACCCTCTAACCCTAAACAACGGTTTAGGGTTTAGGGTTTAGGGGTTTAACTACACCCTCAACCACAAAACGTCAAAGCCCAAAAGCCTCAGCAAGGCAAAGATGAACTTCGTTGGAAGGTCGGCGGATGCCTTCTGTGCGATGGTGCAAGGGGCTCTTTCCACAGGCGCCCTGGGTTTGGCTGAGTAGTAGACTAGGTCACCTTTGGTTTTTTTTCGGGGGCTGCCGTACTCTTAGTTCCCCCACAATTCTGGACAAGTAACTTCGGGGGTGTAATTCTTCCGTTCCAACCATAAGATTACATAATCCGCAAATTACGCACCCTTGATGACAGGGTGCGTTCTGGTTTCAAGTCAGGCGAGTGACCCGTAGAATTTAGGTTTCTGGGCTTAGTGATCCGGGTTTAGGGGCCTTCCTTTGAAGAGACCTCACATGAGCTCAGTGGCATCTTAGCGAGATTCAAGCTTGCCCTGTAAGGTACCCCACAGGGGTTTACAGCACAGTATGCTTTAGATCCCTACGTACCAAACGCCCTCTAGCCGAAACCCGACCCCCAGCCCCCACACCTGAGGCAAGTGCGACTATGTGGAGCTCTGTGAGGAATGGCGAACGGCTCTGGCGGAGCATCATCGTCTTCCGGAAGCTCAGGTCACTACTCTTCTGGCATGTCAGGCAAGGAGTTTAGGGCTGCAGGGTTTAGGGTTTAGGGTTTAGGGTTTAGGGTTTAGGGTTTAGGGTTTAGGGTTTAGGGTTTAGGGTTCAAGATTCAGTGTTTAGGGGTGTCAGGCGAGGGTAGACGGATCAGGGTTATAAGGGCCCCCAACACCGAAGAGAGTCAGAAGGTTTTGGGTTCTATACGATTTCTAGGGAGATTCGAGACGTGTTCTCTAAGGCGAACTCATGTAGATTTGGGATGGTAGGGCTTATGTATTATAGGGTTTAGGGCCGGGTTGCAGAACTGCAGATTCTTGGATTTTCGGGCCCCTGCAGGCAGAAGCACAGAAACTTCCTTGGCCCCAACCATGCGAATGGATGAACTTTTCCGCTTGGTCATACGATCGGAACAGCGTCACACTGCAGACACCTATTGAGATGCCTACTTTCAAAGTGGAGCTCCTCTGTAGTGGAGTAAGTAACCTTTAACGTTTTTGTGGTGCTATATTCCCTTTAAAATCCCAAAATCAAAAACTTAAACCTCTATAGTTCTCTTAGGATACTGGACAAGTGAGGCTCAAGATCGCGCTCTCAGATTTCTTTGAGAGCCTTATCTCTTTGGGTGAACGTCTTCGCTCTTCCGGCCTGGCTGCAGCGGAGATTTTCTGCCGTACTCAGCCATGGGGAAGCTACGTTTTCGTCAAGGGCAAACTTGGCTGGTTTCAACGCCATGGTGGCCGAAATGGGACACTGGTACCTATTGAAGTAGGCGAGAAACAGGCCTGGTTTCAATGGCTGGTTCGGGCAATGCACACTGGATCCTTGAATTTAACTCGGACCATTCACGACTGTGACTCGGTTGTTCTTGAGACTCGTGGCTGAGTTCCTTGAACTAAAACCGAACCAGCCCCTGAATCCTAAGACTTAGGCCCTAAAGCTAAAAACATGACCCATAAGCGCTAAATTAAGTAGTTCTTGTTTGGAGTTCATATATAGAATCCTATAAGGTAACCCCAAAGAGAAGCTACTATGGGTAGGCCCTGATTCCTAAAACCTTGACCCTACAGCCTAAGAGCCTGAAAGCCTAATACCTAGCCCCAAACCCGAAACCATCAACCCTCGAACCTAATCCCTAACCCAGAAGAAGATGCAAGAGCCCCTCAGATTCAGATTTCCAGCTTCTTCTTACGATGGCAGCATACCGTAATCGCACACCTTGAAGAGACGGTGGGTATTACGTTGCAGGTTCAGCAAATGAGGTAGTGAGAATTGAATATAGTACCAGGATGCCATCTTTGAAACCGTGATAAAACCGCTTGAAAAACACATCAAGTCAAGGCATCTGGCAGGAGTATCGTGCACTTGGCTTCGATCTTCTCCCTGGACTGGACTACATGTTACTGGGTTCTGGAGTATTTGCTCTCTCTGTTAGGTTTAGGGACTGGTGAGTCATGCCAAAGTAGCCCGATGAATGAACCCTGTCGGATTCATCAGTCAAAGGTCTGCGCGATTCCTATATGCGTATTTTCGCTGTTATGCTTGCTGTGTTATAGGATCTCCGAATATATCTAGGCGACCCTAGTCTAACTATATAGGCTGCTTTAATACTCTATTAGATACCGCAAGTAGGTTTATCAGTACTTCTTACTTTGGAGGTTTTTGGACCGACCGCATCATCAGACCAAACATCCAGAGCTTGGAGCGAGCACAGTTTAGTGGGAATATCCACAAAAGCAGCCACATCAACAAGGACGAATAGCAAAACGCAGCAGCACCAGCAGTTGCACTGCATATCTTGAAACTGTACTCCGTCGATGTGCAGTAACCTTCAAGGTCTGATCGCCGCTTTGAGCCGTAGCCCTCAAAGGAAATCTGAACCTGGATGCTTTTGGTAATCTCGAAAGGGACCCTAAATCCTTGAGGTCTCGAAGGAACCCCCAAAGCATTATACGGTAGCCCTCATAGAAATAAACCCTAAACCCTAATTTTCATTCCCTTTCTTGAGGAATGGAACTCTTGGAGCGGAAGCTTGGGCCGCGAGCGCGAAGCTCGCCAGTGGCCTTTCTGAGACCGGGTGTAGGGTTAGGGTTGGCTTCAGGGTTTAGGGGTTTAGGGTTTAGGGTTTAGGGTTTAGGGGTTTTGGGGAATCTTTTTTATCAGGGGTCCAGGATTGCTGTTCTGAGATAAGGTTTCGTAGAAGGGCACGGCGTAAGCAGAAATGCTGTTCCGTAGAGTTCCTCAAGGCCATACAGCTTGAGCAATACCCCCTCATGCATTTTTCAATTATTGCGGGCCCCCATTATTCAAAACATTGCAATGCCCGTCATACATGTATGTATGTATGTATGTATGTATGTATGTATGTATGTATGTATGTGTGTATATATATATATATATGAAGCCTATGACCTCGTCAAAAGTTAGGCTCAGCGTTGCAATTTCTCCTTGAGTTACGAAGCCGCCCGGGTGTAAATTATGGTTGTCTTGAACAAAGAGCGCCTAAACCCTAAACCCCTAAACCCCTAAACCCTGAAGCCCTAAACCGTTAGGGTCTCGCAGGGTTCTCAAGGGTTCAGGGTAGGCAAAGAGTTCTGGGGTGGTTGTTTTATGCTGTATTTCCATCGGGGCTACCCATAGGCCCAAAAGTAGTTCCTTTTGGGGGCTCATATATAGAATCCTACAAGGTAACCCCAAAAAGGAACTACTATGGGGCCTATGGCTACGCAAGAACATCAGCCTCTCTTCGCGACCCCCCCCCTCAGGGCTGTTGAAAGAGAAAGATGCTGTAAGGGCTCAGGCCTTTAGGTGTGGGGGCTTCTAGGTTTTCGAGCTTTTAGGGGTCAGGGTGTAAGGTAGCCTGAAATCTAAAAGACAGGAAGCCAACACCTTAAAGTATAAAGTAAGTCCAAGAAGCCTCTCTCAGGCCCCCTGCGAGTAGGCCCATGATCCATCCCTCCATTCCTTACCAAGCCCCTGAGCGCTAAACCCACTTTAGGGTTTAGGGTTTACCAAAGCACAGAAACAGCAGCAAAAACCATCCCCGAAAGTGACCCCGCTAGGGGGTTTACGGTTTAGGGTTTAGTGTTTACTTCCCAAACCATACACCCTAGATTCCAAAGCCTGAGTCTTAACCCAGCAGGTAGAGAAAGGATGATCAACAAGCACTACTAAGGAGGAACTATAACACCGCAATGGTCGAAACCCAAAACCCTAAACCCGAAAAGCCCTAAAAACGTTAACAACCCTAAAAACCCTAAATCCTGGGTGGATTGAAAAACCGGCATTGACAAACAGCCCTCGACCCCTTGCAGTACTAGACCCTAAAAGCCCCACGGTTAGGGTTTAGGGTTTAGGGTTTAGGAGCCTCAATCCTTAAGAGTCATGTATAGGGGATCCCAGCACTAACTGCCCTTGATCCGGTTTCCAACCTTTTGCAGTAAGGCAAAGGCCTGGATCATCTCTCCTGGTTGGCATTCATTGGCAATATGTCCGACGAGATGCCTCAGGGCATCGTGAAAGGCGGTTCAGGGTTTCGGGCTGACTTTTGGGGCTTACCAGCCCTAAACCCTAAATCGTAAACCCTTAAACTCGAAACCCGAAGTCGTAAACCGGGGTTTATGTATTTTTGGAACCCTAAACCCTAAACCCTAAACCCTAAAACCCTAAACCCTAAACCCTAAACCCTAAACCTTAAACCCTAAACCCTAAACCCTAAACCCTAGTGATTGGGCTGCTCAAGGGAATGAATCCCCAGGGGCCTCTTACCAAGGATGCGAACTACAACTGCAGGAAACGAACTGCATTCCTCAAATAAAATCTCCTATATCATATACTTGCATTATGTAATTCGATTCCAAAACCACAAGAAGGATGGGTGCTTCGGGTCCAAATTCCGGAATGGTCGTATCGGCGGGGCCCTAAGAGTGCAAGTAGTCCGTTTTTATCGGTCTCGGAATGCTTTTGGGTGCCCAAGAAAGGCCCTTTAAACCCTAAACCCTAAACCGAAAGTACGGGGTACTTGTGCCCTTAGGTTCAGGGGGTTCCCCCTAAACCCTAAACCCTAAACCCTAAACCACAAACAGATTTTGGAGGCGCCCTGTTTTTGCTTCTTTGGTTTCAGCGGTTTCGAGTGGAGGGTCGGTATCTTAGTGTTGGGGCTGGGGTTTAGGGTGTAGGGGTTTAGGGGTTAGTTAGGATTTAGGCTTTAGGGGTTTAGGGGTTTAGGGGTTTGGGGTTTAGGGGTTTAGGGTGTAGGGGTTTAGGGGTTTAGGGTTTACGGTTTAGGGGTTTGGGGTTTAGGGGTTTAAGTTTAGGGTTTAGGGTTTACGGTTTAGGCTTTAGGACGATTGGGTTGAAGCTTTAAGGCTTCTGTTCTTTGCAGGTTGTAAGATCGG